TACCGCTTTCAGAAACTACCTCCTCCCCTTTTCTTTCTTTCTTTTCTTTTCTTTTTTTTTTTTTTAACGCACTTCGAACGAGATAGCACTTTCTCTCTCCCTTTCTCTCATTCTCTCCGCATGTAACGTGTATCCGTTTTTTTCTAAAACGCGCAAGCTCCGGAAACACGCTACCACACTTTGCGTCGAAGTTCTCACACACGGATGCTCGGGTCCACGATCGTACAGTCGGAGGATCGTCGTCGCGTTTCAGAGTTCTAGAGCGCTCGTACGAGCGACGATTCAGCAGCCATTCGGTCGAAATCGATGAGGAATATAACCGCACGACGGTGGGAAGAGCTAAATGTAAAGCGGTGTGAGAAGAGTGGCGGTGATAGCAGTGGCTATGGTTAAATAGCGGGGGTGAGTTCCTTCCGCGTTCGTCGCGAAACGCACGAAGAGAGGAACAGAAAACAAGAAAGAAAAGGAGAAGAAAAAAGAAACAGAGACGCGGGGAGACATCGCTTGAGGGGGGAAGGGGGATATTACTCTGAGAGATTGTTGCTTGCTTAGTTTTTCTTTTGTGTCCAGCGTTGCACATAAAAATACACGGCACACGGGGGGGAAATGTGTGGCTTCTCTCTCTCTCTCTCTCTCTTTTTCCATTTTTTCTTTTTCTTTCGTTTTTTACCAAGTGTTCGTTGTTATACTGTGTATACTAGCGTAAAACTTACTTTACCACACGCGTTCGTCATGTACAGGTAAAGTGTCAGAAAATAAGCGACAGTCTGGCATGCGTGCTTGACCTCTCGAATACAATACGCGTTTTCTTCTTCTTCTTCTTTTTTTTTTTTAATATATTTTACTTGTGTACGTACTGGTTTTATGTCTGCTCTTTTCGTATCTTCTTTTTTTTTTTTTTTTTTTTTTTTTTTTTTTTTTTTTTTTTTTTTTTTTTTTTTTTTTTTTTTTGTAATTTTTCATCTGTCTTAATGGGTTCTCGCTTTCACGGAGAACGTGCACCTAAAGTACATCACATCCGGAGTGGAATTCTCATCAGGAGGGTATCGTTCGGCCAAGCTATTATTTCTCAACGAAACGAGACAACGTGTCTATCAACGTAATTCCTTAAAAACGAAGGTGCATCTGTTGTTTTGCGTTTTGCTTCGTTTCGTTTCGTACATTTCAATATGACAGAATCGTAAAGTTTGAAAGAATGAATCAACAACTCTTCTTTTTTTAGCGATCCCTACAAGTTGTTTGTATATTAAAGAAAAAAAAAGAAAAAAAAAATTTGGAAAGAAAGAAAACGAAGATAGAGAAAAAGGAAAGAGACCAGGGACTCGAATGTTTTCGTATTTGTTCTTAAAGAATTATTTCAGACAGAAAATTAAATCTTATCTCCTTCTAATAGCTTGTCACATGTCGAATACGTAACACGATACACTCTTGATTTGAATATTGCCATACTCCGCAAATCACATTTAATATGTGTATTTATATACCTATATATATATGCATGTGTTTGCGTATATTGTGTGTGTATAATATGTATATACATGTTCATATCTACAAAACATTATGATATGATTACAAGTCCTAAAGTTGCTTAAATCTACTTCTTTTTTCTTTTTTCCCCCCTTTACCGTATGCGTTAAGTCCTGCTCACTATTTCGAAACGAAAAACTCCCAGATATTCTCCATCGTCGGTTAAAATCGTGATACAACTGTTTTTTTTTATCTCTACCGTAAAACCTATTCTTCTGTAATCCTACATGTATATATAATTACATAATAGCGATGATTAATCATAATAGTAGCAATAATAATAATAATGTTATCGACAACGATAGTAACAATCTACTAGTAATAAAGAAAAGAAGAAAAACGTACGAAGAATGTGATGTAAAAACAATTTTATAGTCCTCCGAACTTGGTGGACACGTTCGAAAAAGTAGGATGAGAAGAAAAACGAAAGGGAAAAAAAAAGGAATATCTATAAATTGTGGAACAGAACACAAACATTTATCGTGAACAGGAATTGAGAAACAATAAATGAACGGGTTATTATCGTCAACGGAACGATCATCGAGCATATCGTTTTAATTATTAATTAGTGTATCTTTTGTTTGTTTCTTTGTTTTCTTAATCATGTTAGCTTTAGTGCCTTTGTCACTCTCCCTCGCTCGCGCCGATATACACATATACGTAATGTATGCACGCTCTACGATTAATAAGCAATTCTTTCCATTCATCGAAATGAGAAACTCTCGTGAAACAGCAACGTACAACGATGTAACTATTTTCCTCCATTACAAGTGATGAGTACGTTGTTTCTTCGTTTTATATCCACTGTGTTCCCACTCGCCTTCGTCTCATCTCTTTATCTTAATTAATCCTCGCCTTTGAATTCTACTCGTTTGACTCGACAATCAACGCGGGTCCTCGCTTTTGTGTACTGAAAACCCCTTAAAATACAACTTATCCTCTAGTTGTATTGTAACAAATATTGCCTTGAATATAAACACCATTTTTTTTTTGTTTGTTTCTTTGTTAATTCTCTTATTTAAGTTGGTAATTCTCATTATTTTATTTTGTTAATTTTTGTTTGTTTGCTTGAACAAGTTAGGTTTCTCTGTCTCACTGGATCAATCGATAAAGATGGCGGACATCTCTTTTCTCTCTCTTTCACTCTCTCGCTCTCTCCCACGCATCCTTTAAAAAAAAAGGGGTAACCGACATGTTTAACCCTTTTCTCGTCCCTTACTTGTTTGTTTGCATTTTGTTTCGTTTCTTATTATCTTACGTTACGTATGGCCGAGTCAAGTATCTATTATTTTTCGTTTTTTCCCTTTTTACATTTATTTAGATTAATTATTTGGTTCGCTTTGAGAAAAACACAACTTATTACCTTTACATGTAACTTGCATTATTATTATTATTATTATTATTATTATTATTTTTATCATAATTATTATTATATTTTTTTAAATTTTAACCTTACACTTTTTTTCGCATTTTCTTTTTTTTTATTCACTTTTTCCTTTTTTGTTTTATTTCTTAAATCGGAGATCTAAAACCTTTCTTATAAAAACGTCCCCCGGCCCGACAAAATATTGCCGTGGGACTACTAATATATTGTGTGACGTCGACTTCATCGTCTTCATATAAAATTCAATTCACGGTCCGCGATCTGATCAATAGTGTACGAGCGCTTGAAGAGAATATAACCATCGGTTGCTTGTTTGGTTTTTTTCTCTCTCTTTCTGGTTCTATTTTTTTCTCTGCCTTTCTGTTTCCGAGATTTTTTTTTTTTTCATTTCTTTCTTTGCAATGCACGGGTATCGTAGTCGCAACCTGAACACTACAGCTCGCGCCAACTTCCTGTTTCTTGTTTCTTTTTCTCCCCTGCTATTTCACCCTTATCTTACGTCCTCGACGAGGAAGCAGAAGACAGCCCGCGATTTTCCATTTTTCCGGTCGATAGACACGAACAAGTCGAGGCGACTTGCTTTCGTTCCTCCTTCTGCCTTTCTTTCTTTCTCGCTCTTTTCCCCTTTTCTTCCATCCATTCTGTCCTTCATTCGTTCCCCTCCTTTAAAAACCGAGACTCGCGAGAAGCTTCCTCGCGCGACACGAAAAAGAAGCGAGACGATCTCATTCTTTAAGTTTTCCATCCCAGATTCCACCAATTCTCACCACCCACGAGTGAATCTCGTTTCACCTGTCTTTTCTCTTCTTTCAGCACAATTCCAAGCACAATTTGTAAATAAAATCTGAACAACGTGAAAACACAAATAGATATTCATTCGAAGCGCATGTATGGATATCAATATACATATATATATATACACAAGTGTAGAGTATACAAAACAACGACAGACAAAGCTATCAGTGATCGGAGAACATTTTTGAGACTTTTGCGTTTCCTTTCTGCTGTACAGCAAAAGATTCTCGCGAGTCGAATCGTTATCTGTTTTATTAGCGTCTATTTGTGTTTCTCTTCGTCCCGTTCGTCGTTGACGGAGGGTAATGCAAGTTTCTTCCTTATATAGGCGGATCTACTCGCGTGCACGATTGATCCAGATCTCAGATAATAATATCCAGTGTGTAGCTTCTAATGGTCAATGAGGAACCTTCAATTTATCATCTATCGGATCCCGCGAGAAATGGTCAACCAGGAACGCGGTGCACTCGGCTTCGAGATCGTGGAGGTGTCTTTTTCGTTGCGCTTGCTTCTTTCGTCTCATTTCTTTTTTTTTTTCTCTTTTTTTTCCTCCTTTCTCTCGTTCGCCAGTTACAGTGTGCACGTTAAAAGTGATGTGTTTTGTCGTAGCTCGTACGTGTGCTACGAGAGAGAATTAAACGAGGTTTTCTTCCTTTAAACGGGCACACGCGCGCGTCACGGAAACGGACAATAGTGGAAAACACGTAAACGGCTCGCCGTCGTGCGATACGTGAAACGTCATACACGCTGGGCCAACGTAGAAGCGACTGCTGTGTAAGTGGTCTGTCGGTTTCGCGAGTAACTGTTTCAAAATTCTCCACTTTTCTTGTTAATTTAAATATTTTTCAAATTTTCCTCTCTTGTTTTCAATATCGATAACTAACAGAGTCGCAAAGTACGCGACGATTTCTCGACAGTTACTCACGAAACGTATTGGTCTTGTTTCCCCAACCCTTGATGATATGTAATCCATACCCATCATGGCAGACTCCCATTAGACGCTCTCTCTCTCTCTCTCTCTCTCTCTCTCTCTCTCTCTCTCTATATATATATATATATATATATATATATATATATATNAAAAAAAAAAAAAAGAAAAGAAAAAAAAACAAAGAAAAATACAAGGAGAACAAAATATAAAAAGAGAGAAAAAAATCCATACGGAAAAGAATGCGCAAAGAGTTGGCCAAGAGTATATAGCAGGAAAGCAAAAAGCAAAACGGAAAAAAAAAAGAAAAGAAAAAAGTAAACGTCGCTGCCTCTCGATGTTTCGCCTTGTTCTCGACTTTTCTTATTTTCCATTTTTATCCAGTCGTGCGGACGATCCTCGATGACTTTCGCGCGGCCCCGTGTTTCGTGCCACGTTCCATCCCGCCACCACCGCCGCCACCGCCGCCACCGCCGCCGCTGCCGCGGCATTCGTCATTGTATCTCCCAGCTCCGTGTTACAATCAGTTCTTCTGCTGAACGCAACCGATTGATTCTTTCAGCAACCAGCAGTGTGTGTGTGTGTATGTGTGTATGTGTGTATATGTGTGTGTGTGTGTGTGTCTATGTCTGATCATCAGGCGTTGTTGTCAGGCGTTGTCACCACGCGGCGAGAACGAGGAGAAGAGGAGTATGACGGTAGCAGCAGCAGCAGCAGCAGCAGCAGCAGTAGTAACAGTGGTGGTAGAAGAAACAGCAGAATCGATAGGTACTGGACGAGGTGGTGTTGTCTCGGTGTGGTTTTTGTCGGTTGTGGTGGTGGTGGCTACCTCGTCCGGCGAGTAGGCCCGCTGCTCCTCTCTCATCAGTACGGCCAGAACGTAGGCAACGGAGGCGGTGGCGGTGGTGGCACGGTAGGATATAGAGTCGGGGTGGCGATCAGGACGCAGGTGGGCGGCAAGGGAGGCGGCACGGGCGGCGGTAAGACCGGGGAGAGTGTAATCGCTGCGGCTGGGTGCAGGGCCGTGCCCGTCGGGGCACACAACGGGTGCAGGGCGAGAGAGGGACGCTGGCGCTGACGCTGACGCTGCTGGCCCTGGACCTCGCCGTTCTATTCCGAGTCCTGCTGCATTTTGACGTGGCCATTACCGGCGGAATTGCTCGACGTGCTGCCGCTGCTCGGCGGGAAGCTCGTCGGTATGGTGCGCGACGACGAGAAGCACAGTTTCATGATGTATGGGAATTTGCCGTCTGCAAACAGAACGAAATCGAAAGCCGATCGATTAGACTCGACGACGTTCCCGATTTTATACGTTCGAGGAGTTTCGTCGCTAAGAGACCGCAAGATGAAAGATTTTTAGTGAACTTTTTTTAGTCTCTCTTTCTCGTCGTAGGACCAAACAATTTCAGCTACCAGTCTCTTAGATGATTTTCATTCTACAATCTAGAATCTAGAATCGTGGAAATGAAATAGTTGGAATTGTTGCAATGTCAGATGGAAGTTACGAATCCTTTGCCCTCGACAAACTTTTTTCGTATCATCTACCAGCAATTTGTTCACCAAGCGTTATCACTTCAAGTAAAATGACATAGCACTGGGAATAATCATTCAAGTAGCGAAACTTTGTTGATTATGTCTTTCTAACATGTGATATCGTTTAAATTTAATGCAATCATCAACGTACATTGCCGGTTTCCTAGAACAAGCATAATATACAAGAGTTAATGATACATAGTTTCAATCTCTGGAAAAATAATATCCTCCACCGTTTCTTCACTTTCGTAAGAAAAGTAACGAGAAGTTTCTAGTTTATGTGAATTATTCCGAATTATGTGAATTATTGTCATTTAGGAGTATTTTCAGAAATGTTCTTCTCTTCACGTTGTTACAGTTTTCATTCTAGGCATTTATTCAGACATTATAACATTATACATCGCAACATGCAAACGTATACGTATCATTGTATAATTATCAGCAAATTATAAAAAAAAGGAAGTCCAAGCTGTTAGCTAGAGCTAAATACGATGTGCCCTCGGAAGGGATAGTCGAGTGCAAAGGGTTAATTCAACCGATTTGATTTATTTTTGTAAATAAAGAGAAATTTCAATTTTGCATAGGGAGTAGACACTAAATTGAAAAAAAAAGAGATCGTGTTCCTTTTTAAATCCTTTATATATACGTACTGCTGTTTTCCAGTGCTGTGTGATTGCATTCCATGATGGCAGCTACCGCGATTCCGACGCTGCTGAACTCGATAAGGCCGGACGACGATCGTTCCGATTTAAGGGGGAACAGTTTCACCGTCGTTGGTGCTTCGATGCCACGTTCCACGAATACGCGATGCACGGTTTCCTCGGTTAAATCCGGGGGCGTGTTGAAAAAATGGACTATCTTCGAGGGTGGTTGTATTCTATTCTTATTGGCCATTGCTGGATTTAGGAACCTGGAATCAACAACGACACGCAACGCGTCGCGTTCGATTAAACTCGAGCGTTCTACGCGGCGACAATCGGTTCGGAACCGATTTCAATTTCGAATGTGTAAATTTCATCGATTGTAATTAGATCATTGTGTCCATTGAAATGCAAAAGCACGCGTCTCGTGTTCAAAAATTACGTTTCTCGCAAATTATTATAACGAACCATTATTATTCACGGAAAATGACGGCGTCGTGCAGCGGATCCGAATCGAAATGAATATAAAGCTTCAATTTCTATTGAATTCCGGCGTTCGGAAACGAGAAAACTCGTAACTAATATCCTCAGAATCGTGGCCAACGAGAAATTACCAGTACCGAGTGAAAAAAAATGAATTTCAACAACGCGATTAAACTCTCGTCGAATAAACGTTAAATCCGCTCGAGGATAGAGAGGAGAGATCTCCCTGAAATCTCCGCAAGTAGGAGCGTCGTTAATTGTACTGTACGTTCGTCAAGTAGTAAATGCCACAGAACTGCGAATTTCTCGTTAACGTTCATTCATCGTTCAGACGATGGGATGGATGTACGGGTACTCGAAATTTACGAGCACTCGATCCGCGAGGTTAGATACGTCAGACGAGGCTAAAACAGATACGTACGTACATGACACGTACGAATATTCGGGTAGCCTGATTCTTTTGAGCAACCCGACTCGTCTTGGATAGCTTGAATTTTTCGAATAATTCAACTTGCTTCAAATAGCCCGATTTTTTCGAATAATTCGACTTGTTTCAAATACCCGATTTTTTTCAAAT